CAAAGCGGGAGTTGCAGTTGCGTTACAAAAAGAGCGCCGAGGCGCAGTTAATGTGTGTGGGTACGTTGCATTATAACCGTGTTATACATCTTGAATGCGTGGCTCCACAGTCCACAGATACACATATACACATATATGCACATTATTGCCCCACCGCACATTTTTTTTTTCGCCCAGCCGCTGATGCTGCTGCTCAAAGAGGCGCCATCGCCACAGCGACGGCCACGGCGAGAACCGCAAGGGAACTGAGACCAACAGCAACAACTGAAGTGTCACCGAGTCCGGATTGCTTCCCTCCGCGATTCCCGTTTCCTCCAACGCTGCTTTTCCCATACGGGTTCGGAGTAACCTCACCACGCATGCTGGTTGGGTTGCGTTCCGGATTGGTGTTGTGCGACGGATACGTTGAGGGTGAAGCATCGGGCTCAGGATTAGTACCGCCTGATTCATCATTTGTGTCTGCAGAGTTTGGATCCCCCGCAAGTGGCGGGGCAACGACTGGTATTGGGAGGGCCCAGATGTTAGGAAAGGCTGCGCACACGTCGGCATATTTGGGGCACCGGATGCTCCCCCCGCTCCATTTGCCCCCCGACGGCGCAACCATCTCGCCCTCATTGCAGTCGTGCCACGTGTCGTCGCCAAGGAACTGCACCCTCAGATTACCCCCACTGCACTGCGTGTTCACGCACACATCGCCAATCTCTTGGTAATCATAAAGAAGCCCCTCCCCCTTTACGCACCGTGAGCTCGAGCCAATGAAGCTTCCAGGGATAGATTTAGTATCGCCGTTGGTGCACCCAGACGCCGCACGCCCAGTAGCATACGGACAGTAGTCCATAAGCCTCGAACCTCCAAGTGTGGGGTTATCAAAGTACTGAAACTCCGGTGAACGAGGATGGAGGTAAGTCCGTAGCCCACAGTTCCCCAGAGAAAGACGGTCATACGTGCAGAGCAGCTTGCGGTCACTGCTGTCTTGTTTACAGAACAACTCAGGGTAGTTGGTGCGGCCATTGGTGAAGCACTTATTTTTCAGCAGCCTGCAGCCAGAGTTGTTGCCCCACCGCAACGGCTCCGCCATGTCGTAGTTGGCCTTGTACACACCCATGTCCTCAAATGCCGCAAGCGTCAATACGGAGTAATACATGGGCGGGGCCTCAGGATTCATAAACTCGTCCGCTGCGCTGAGTTTCTTCCAGTGGCTCCTGTCATACCCCTCACCATCGCTCTCCTCCAGCTCCATGCCCGCGAGTGTGGGGCAGTTGTAGTACTTCCTCGCCAGCTCCTTCACTTTCGGTGAAGAAATCACCCACACCTCCTTCTTCCCGCGCACATTGGAGACCTTGGAGACCATATTGAACCTCGACAGGCGATCATACGAAAACCCAAGAACGTGCCCAATCTCGTGCGCTGCAGTGCGAACAGCTTCATTAGTGGCCTTTATGTGCCGGGAGTCAAACTTCGCGACGCCAGCGTACGTCCGTCCGTCCTCCAGAAAGACGCAGGGGGCCGCATATGCAATGGCACTTTCACTCACGACAGCGTCGACGTAGAGAACCATGTCGGCGCCGCTCACGCCGATCGTGTGGTGCCAGGAAGGGATGTTTAAACCGGTGCACAACCCTAGACCTTTCTCTGGCATACGGATGGGATCCTGCATGGGCCTCACGTACAGACGCTCGGCGTGCAGCTTAATTGCGGCCGGGAGGAGTTGCTTCAAAAGAATGTCCTTCTTCGCCTCCGTCAACATCATGTCCTCCGTGCATTCCTTCCAGCTGTTACCGACCAGGCGCCAATGCTTCCCTGGGAGGCAGTGCTTCAACTGATCGTCCATGTCCTTCGCAGACACCTTGATGCGGATCGGGGCCCACTCACTCCCCACGCCTTGTGCGGCGACGGTGTACGCATGCATCTCGCCCTGTCCTCTGCGCGGCACGTCACGCACCACCGCAGTCGCCAGGCGGCCCCCTCCTCATCATCTCGGCAAACCCGCAGCGGTGCTTCCGAGCGGGAGCGACGGCGAGGCACCCAGCGGTGCAACACACCAACAGCAGCAAAAACACCGCCAGTAGGAAAAACGGCGTGCTGCGGCGTGGCTGGCACATCGCCTGAAGAAACTGCCCGTGTTGCTTCTGTTTGAACATCAGCAGCGGCATTATTGGTGGTGGCGCAGGCCTTTTAGGCGGGGAAAAAAAAGAAAAAAAAGAACACAACGATATTCACCGCCCGCGCCCCCAGCAGGCACCCCACAAACAACAGCGACAATCCAAAACGAAAGCCGCAACGACAAACGCACGGGCCGCACGATCACACACTCACCGCCGCCTGAAGAAACGCCCGCACGCACGGAGAGTCCGCAGTGTGGGACGCCTCCCACAGAAATCAAAATAATATAAAAAAACAAATTCATAAGCACGTCGCTTACCGTCTCCCCCGCCCAGCCCCTTCAAACCCCGCCAGCAACAACACGCAGTGCGCATGCCGGCGAGACCTCACATCACGGCCCCCACAAACTCCCCAACGCCGCCACTTCCCTCAGCGCACCGCAGCAGGAGTGGGGCGTAATTTATTTT